CCTACCTTTTATTGTGCCAATTGAGAGTCCAATTATAAATCACTTCCATTGCAAATCCAATTTCAAAGCCCAATATTATATAATAATCCTTTCAAAGGCCTCATTTCTTCCAAATATGCAATTTAGTCCTTCAATTTCTATTTAATTATGCAGCCCCTGTCCTTTTCAATTTTTAAATATGGAAGTTGAGCTCTAAAATTGCCAGTTTCATTTAATTACATCATTCTTCCTTTCCAATTGCTTCAAACGAGCTCATCACTAAAAACAAAAGAAAATTAGCTTAAGTTAATTAGAAATTAATAATTTGACGACATAAAAGTTAAGTAATATAGTAATAATAAGTGCACAAAATGCACTTATCAGTAATTTTCTCTATCTGTAATTACTCCCAAATTTGACACTAATTTCTATCAAATACAAATTTGACTTGACCAAGACGGAAATATAATAGGGAAGGCACCACACTAGTGTCAAACTTATATTTGGCAACAAGGAAGAATCAATTCACCTTGTGAACTTGGATAATTGAGTCTTTCACTTTTACAAGACCTATTTATTTTTGAAGGGATAGACATTTTATATTTGTTCAATTTTTTTATCAACTTTAGAAACGAGAGGATATTTTACGGAAAAATTATCATCTAATTTTCGTTTCCCTTTTTCCATAATTAAAATCCGTCAAATATTGGGTATAGGTTTTAGAATTCGTACTCTGGAAATTTGATGAAATTTGACACTATATTCTACCTATAGAGTGGAATCCCAAATAAGAACAAAAGTAAGGGAACCTAAGCCTTGATTCAAGAGAAATTTTCATTGTTAGCACAATTTTCAACAAAATGTAATTTGCATGCCGCAAATAAAATAATATTTGAATAAAATCAATGTACTAGGAGGTTTCGGTTATGTTGAACACCAAGGTTAGGTCCGCTTCCCTTAACCTAATTAATCAGCCCCAAAACATGCTTCTTAAGTTGCAAGAGTCAATGAAGCAAGTTGTTGGATAGAGTATTCTTATCATGATGCCATTATAAATAACATTTTAATATAAAGACATAAATTGGTTTATTTTTTAACCACTAAATATGGAATGGTTTATCACATTCATAAACAAGGAGTGCAATACAAGATTTTAAAAAATTATACTTTATTCGTTCTTCATTATCCTACTTTCTTTGACTTGTGGTCACATTCAAACGCACTACTTGAAAGAAATTTGGTAAATTTATTATTATCCTCTGTAGAAGCTCATAGTTTCGTCTCAATCTTAATGAATGTCTTCAAAATCATTACACGACATTTTTCACAATTTAAATTTCAAATTTACAATTGACAAAAGTTTATTTAGAAGTACGAAGGCAAATCACATTTGTTTTGATCTGTTTTTGTCATGTTCAACCAATCCAACGTGATCTCCCCCCCCCCCCCTACCCCCAGCAGCTAATCTTCGACAATCGGGGGGAGGGGGGGTTTGGGGAAGCTATTTGTGGACCGTGTATAGTGGACAAGCGTGGTGCTAATATTCTTTCAATCCATGATTTAACAAGTTCAACCTTTTTTTCTTGTTGTATTTTTAATTGTCTTGAAGATTAATTATGGGAACTCCATGACCAAGAAAAAGAATGCAAGAAATTGCAAATTCTGGGTTTGATTTATTTTTATTTATACACATTCATTTTCGCTTCTGAAGAAAATTTAAATTATGGGCAATTTTACATTTTATCTAACTTTGTTGTGGATTACAGTTTCATTCACCAGCACACTGAATTTCAAAATATGGAAACTTCTTGTTAGGTAGTAATTGGCAACAGTAATCTTTTGGAAGCAGATAATAAGTTATAAATGAAACTTATGTAAATAGTTAGTTTCTACTTCTGGCTCAAAGTTTCATGGGATTCTAAAGTCCAGTAGGTTTATGGTGGTGTTGCATTACAACTGTTGGCGGATTTGAGGTGAAAATAAAGTCCGGTGGTGGTTGATTGAAGTGGAGCATTGCAGGTAGTGCTCATGGTGGTGGTGAAATGGAAACATTGTTTTTTTATGTTGCCGATCGTGGAAGTGGATATGATGAAGTGATTGTAACCAATTATTAGATAAGTGTGACCAATAAATAATGTGACCTGAAAAATATGCGATTTGTGACTAAATTTATAATTATGACCTACAATTTGTGTCTTTGTAACAAATAAAAAAATTATGATATATTAATTTGTTAGACTATAAATAAGTTGTAACAAATTAATTTAGTAAGTTGTGATCAATAAATTATTTGCGACATATAAAAAGGTGTAATTTGATACTAAGTTTATAGTTATGATATACAAATTGTGTCTTTGTGACTGTAACCTTTTGTACTTTGTGACTAGTATGTAATTTGATTATTGGTCATTACGTACATGTAGATAAATATTTTAACCTTTTTAAAACTACGAATGATAGATGTTACTTTAATGTGGATGACATCTCTTTATTATGATTGCTATTTAATTTAGGTTAATTTTTTGTCAAATAAAATTTGTTATAGTATATTTGTAATAACAGATTATAGTTAGACAACATGTCACATTATTACATTATTGGTCACAATAGATCACAATTAACACACTTGGTCACAGAGAGACACAGTTAACATATTAATGGGTCAGAAACTTTTAAATATAAATAGGTTTTGTCACAAAACATTCACTGTTGATGTGGTTACACGTCATTGTTAACACAAACTTAATTACATACAATTACAATTAAGGCGGATCTGGTCGCAGTCAGTCACAATAAAAACATATTTGATCACAATGAATCATAGATAACATAGGCTTGGTCATAGCAATAACAACTTACATAGATCTATTCATAGATTATCACATTTATTGCAAAAAAAGGCCACACGTTATGAATTTATTTATTTTTTTTTGACTAATTATGTTCACAAAAGCACTTTTAGTAAATTTAATCAATACTCATTGAAGTTTAAAATTATTACTACTTGCTCATTTTTAATGGTTTATCCAATGCTCACTTATCCATCACCTATTAACTAACCGTTTCAAATTGTGGATAGAAAATCACATGTGACAAACGACAATCCTACGTGGTGTGTTGACGGTGTCAATCATGACCATGTCAACAAAAGCTCACCAACCAAGCATGCTACTTACTTCCTCTATTTACAAATAAATTTGTGTTTTCGTGATTGATAAATAAGATTGACCAATTAATTTGATAAACTGTAAAATGAGTCGTGATAAATTAATTTGATAATATGTAATCGAGAAATAAGTTGTAAACTATAAAATAAGGCTTTGGTTAATATAAGTTGTAGTCAAACAACAATAGGTCACAATGAACTCATTACAGGTCATAAACATTCATAGTGAAAATAGACCTAATCATAGACAATCACAAATAACAAAAACTTGGCCACAGAAAGTCATGGCTAACACATAAAAGGTCATAAGTATTCACAATTAACAAAAAATAGGAACTCATCAAACAATGTTTCAGTACATGTCAAAAGCAAATAATAACAAATCAGGGCTGATTAATTTCACAAATAATAAAATGTTATCCCGCCAATTGATTCGACGCAATATTCAAAAGAACCAATAAAGTAAATAAAGTGGCACGCCATTAGAGTAAAATTCATAAACATAATCCAAATTAACCCCAAATCATCAATATCAGAGGTTTTTGTTCTAGAATCACCATTTCAAAGGAAAAAGGTGATACACAAGGTAGAAGTGCACACTAAAATTTGCGGGTGCCACGCCACTATCTATTTTGGGAGCTCTACTGGTTGTTGTTGCCGCTACTGTTCGTCTTCATTTTCTTGAATTTCTCAAAGCTAACGTAACGATCTCTATCAAAATCAACAGATTTAATCATCCCAACGCTGTCTTGTTCGGTGCACCACTCATCGAGGCTCATGAGGATCTTGTGAAACTCAACGGATGAGATCATTCCATTATGATCTTGGTTGTAGAGCTCGAATGCCTCCTTAAGCTCCTTCTCTTCGTCATAGGAGGGATAGGGGTCTGTGTCGGCCTTGAAGGAGGCAAAATCCTGGATATTAAAATGTTTTTGTAAGTATTATCTTCTAAATTTATGTGATATTTTATTATAATTTATCACCTGATTTTTGAAATATTTATGTAATTTTGTTAAATGTGAAATTGTATACTTAAATATTGTAGTTCTCTCTCTCTCTCTCTCTCTCTCTCTCTCTCTCTCTCTCTCTCTCTCTCTCTCTCTCTTTATATATATATATACACACACACACACACCACACCATGCAGCCCTTTTTGCTATGGAAAGAGAATCCAGCCCCCCTACCTTTTATTGTGCCAATTGAGAGTCCAATTATAAATCACTTCCATTGCAAATCCAATTTCAAAGCCCAATATTATATAATAATCCTTTCAAAGGCCTCATTTCTTCCAAATATGCAATTTAGTCCTTCAATTTCTATTTAATTATGCAGCCCCTGTCCTTTTCAATTTTTAAATATGGAAGTTGAGCTCTAAAATTGCCAGTTTCATTTAATTACATCATTCTTCCTTTCCAATTGCTTCAAACGAGCTCATCACTAAAAACAAAAGAAAATTAGCTTAAGTTAATTAGAAATTAATAATTTGACGACATAAAAGTTAAGTAATATAGTAATAATAAGTGCACAAAATGCACTTATCAGTAATTTTCTCTATCTGTAATTACTCCCAAATTTGACACTAATTTCTATCAAATACAAATTTGACTTGACCAAGACGGAAATATAATAGGGAAGGCACCACACTAGTGTCAAACTTATATTTGGCAACAAGGAAGAATCAATTCACCTTGTGAACTTGGATAATTGAGTCTTTCACTTTTACAAGACCTATTTATTTTTGAAGGGATAGACATTTTATATTTGTTCAATTTTTTTATCAACTTTAGAAACGAGAGGATATTTTACGGAAAAATTATCATCTAATTTTCGTTTCCCTTTTTCCATAATTAAAATCCGTCAAATATTGGGTATAGGTTTTAGAATTCGTACTCTGGAAATTTGATGAAATTTGACACTATATTCTACCTATAGAGTGGAATCCCAAATAAGAACAAAAGTAAGGGAACCTAAGCCTTGATTCAAGAGAAATTTTCATTGTTAGCACAATTTTCAACAAAATGTAATTTGCATGCCGCAAATAAAATAATATTTGAATAAAATCAATGTACTAGGAGGTTTCGGTTATGTTGAACACCAAGGTTAGGTCCGCTTCCCTTAACCTAATTAATCAGCCCCAAAACATGCTTCTTAAGTTGCAAGAGTCAATGAAGCAAGTTGTTGGATAGAGTATTCTTATCATGATGCCATTATAAATAACATTTTAATATAAAGACATAAATTGGTTTATTTTTTAACCACTAAATATGGAATGGTTTATCACATTCATAAACAAGGAGTGCAATACAAGATTTTAAAAAATTATACTTTATTCGTTCTTCATTATCCTACTTTCTTTGACTTGTGGTCACATTCAAACGCACTACTTGAAAGAAATTTGGTAAATTTATTATTATCCTCTGTAGAAGCTCATAGTTTCGTCTCAATCTTAATGAATGTCTTCAAAATCATTACACGACCCCCCCCAACACAAAAAGAAATCTACTTGCCATTTTGGAAGAGTTGTGCTAGATTTACAATGTTTTGTACAATTTAGTTGACAGCCACCCCTCCAATAGGGGGCCACCACTTGGCTCCTTTGTCAATTAGATTGTACAAAACATTGTACAAATAGAATTATTCATTTTGGAATCTCACTTGGCGAAGTATAAATGTATTGTGTTTGTTTGTTTGAGAGAGAGAGAGAGAGAGATGAAAGAAAACCATGAAGTTCATCCAAAATTATTGGCATGGAGCCAAAGCAAATGGAGAAATTAAAGGAAGACCGCAATAACAAAACCTTCGTCGGTGAACGCTGATTACAGGAAATGCCCAAAGATTCTAATCACTCCTCTTATGTTTAATACTGTTCCCAACCCTTTTTAACACTGAAAATCTCACTTGTTAGAGAGAGGGACATTTCAAAAATGGCTACGCTAAATCTCTTGTTTCTTAACTAATATCACGCCTTTCAACACTGTCCATGGTCCATTCTGAGGACCCTTACTTGTTTTTCACATGGAATATTGCTTATGGCAATCTCTCTCCCTTGGGAATACCTACACCAGTCATTCTCATTAATGGTCAATTTCCGGGGCCAGAAATCAACTGCAATTCAAATAACAACGTTGTTTTCAATGTGTTTAACCACCTTGATGAGCCATTTCTTTTCACCTGGAATGGGATTCAGCAGAGGAAGAATTCTTGGCAAGAAGGGACTCCAGGCACGACTTGTCTGATCCCACCCGGTGCAAAATTTACGTACAATTTCCAGGTGAAAGATCGGATTGGCAGCTACTTTTACTACCCCAACACCTCGATGCACCGTGGTGCAGGTGGCTATGGAATGCTCAAGATCCACATTCGGGAGAACTCTTGGTAGGCCAGAAGGTGATATCATCAATGGTAAGCAAGGGAAGGGATATGGAACAGATAAGCCCATGTTCACTATGATCCATGGAAAGACATACAGATATAGAGTCTGTAATGTGGGGATGAAAAACTCCATCAATGTCAGGATTCAAGGCCACCCATTGAAACTGGTAGAGATTGAGGGATCCCACACTGTTCAGAATGTGCATGAGATGTGCAATCAGGGCAGTGCTATTCATTCCTGGTGATTGCTAGTCAAGAATCGAAGGACTATTTGTGGTTTCTACACGGTTCACCAAACACGTCCTCAGCACAACTGCCACCATCCGATATGAAAGTGGCAAGGGCCCTGCCTCCTCAGTGTTGCCCGAGGCACCGATTGGGTGGGCTGGTCCCTCAATCAGTTCCGTTCCTTCCTTTGGAACCTGACAGCGAATACAGCCAGGCCTAATCCTCAAGGCTCTTATCACCTGGAGCGGATGTAGGGGGACTACACTGGGCTGTGGTCCCCCACAAGGCCCAAGAATTTTCATTTTAAGGCATTTTTCTTTTTTTTCTTTTTTCTTTTTTTTTTTTGTGTAAAAACAGTTTTTTATGTGTAATTTTTTTTTTTTTTTTTTTTTTTAAAAACAATTTTTTATTTGTAATTTTTTTTTTTTTTTTTTTTTTTAAAAACAATTTTTTATTTGTAATTTTTTTTTTTTTTTTTTTTTTTAAAAACAATTTTTTATTTGTAATTTTTTTTTTTTTTTTTTTTTTTAAAAACAATTTTTTATTTGTAATTTTTTTTTTTTTTTTTTTTTTTAAAAACAATTTTTTATTTGTAATTTTTTTTTTTTTTTTTTTTTTTGTGTAAAAACAGTTTTTTTTGTGTAATTTTTTTTTTTTTTTTTTTGCGAATTAACCCGGCTTGAAATTTTGTAATTCGATCTTGGATCAATCCTGGATCTGCCCCTGCCAGCTACCACTATGGCAAGATCAACATTACTCGCACAATCAAGTTGGTCAATTCAGTTGGCACCGCTAATTGGCAATCTCCGATATGCTGTCAATGGCATATCGCACAAAGATCTAGAAACTTCATTGAAGCTGGCTGAATTCTTTGGGGTTGCAGCGTTGCAGACGAAGTGTTCAAATATGACACTATAGGGGATGAACCACCTGCAAAAACAGTTGATACGATCACAGTTGCACCCATTGTGCTCAACGCCACTTTCCGCAATCATATTCGAGAATCATGAGAAGAGTATCCAATCATGGCATTTGGCTGGATATTCTTTCTTCGCTGTAGTGTAAGCAAATTTGATTACAGCATTCAATTTCTTTAGGTTAAACACATCACATATGCATTTCTAAGTAGAAATTAATGTCCACATTTGCTACTACAGAGCACTAACTCCTGAAAACATGAGACAATCTAAGGGCTCTTACATTAAAAGTCAAAATGAAAGTGCACTACTGCATTTCTTTTTCTTCCCATATTAGTTTCACATATTATCTACACTAGAGCCATGTTTATTATGCAAAACTAGACAAGACTAGACAATGCAATGACATGAGTTAAGCTCATTTTTCTTCATTAATAATTCTAGTGTCGTCCAATCCACCTTATCACATGCACGCGCATGCACATAAACACTAACACGATGCATGGATGCAACGGGATTGAACCGGGCAGATGGACACCAGATAAGAGGAAGAATCACAATCTTTTGGATGCAATAAGTAGGAACACAATCCATGTATATCCAAAGAGCTGGGTAGCCATTATGACTACACTAGACAATGCTGGAATGTGGAGCATAAGATGACTCTTGAGAGGCAGTATCTAGGGCAGTGGCTATACGTCAGCGTACTCACCCCAGAGCACTCTCTTTGTGATGAGTATGACCTTCCTAACAATACTCCATTGGGCGGAATTGTTAAAGGTTTCCCCATGCCAAAACCCTACACTACGTGATTCAGCTTTTGAAGTTGACCAAAGTACTTGCAGACTTAAAGTGAAAGCATTAACTGAGTGCATATTCATGCCTGTTGGAGAAAGAAAGAGAGAGATTTTAAAGCCACCTAACAAAAAAAAGAAAGAAAAAAAGAGAGAGAGAAAAAGATCAGCAGGAAGAAGAGAAAAAGAGAAGAGAAGAATGCCAATGAGATTTTGCACTGCCATGGTTTTTGGTTAACGGTAGATTTTGTGTTTTTAGTTTTTGAAGTATAATGTAATTTATTTTCAAGTCCATTGAATCAAATGGTTTCAACGTGTAAAATTTAGTACACTAAACAGGATCTGGCAATTTTTGCTTACAATTAATGTAACATGTGTGGTATACGTGTTCCTGAATTATTCTACTTGTAAGATTAGATTGACTTATGAATGCGTGGCTTTCATTTGTCCATTGATTTGAATTTTTGAAATTCAAAATTCAAATCAACAAACAGATGCATTCATTTGTCAAACTACCTGTACATGCGACTATATCATCTTAGCTTTGTACTAGTAAATGTAGTCGATCATAAGAATAATTTGTGACTTACAATATAAGGTACAACAAGTATATGCACGACAAATAATTAACTTCAGATGGATTGTGATAGAAAAAAACAATCGACTTTAACTCAGAACTGCAGTGAAAAACTGTGGGATGATAATAACATCTTTCCTACACTTTTAAAATTGTGGGATAAGTTATCTTGGAAATACTTGTTCAGCATATTTGTCAAGTGAATAGACTTACTTGAATCCTAATATATTATTTGACTTGTGGTTGTGTTACTTCCCAGTGAACAAGCTATCATGGCCATAATACCTCTACTCCATTGAGTGAACTTACCTTGTTCAATATGTTTCCTAAATGAACAAACATACACGCCCTCAGCACCTCTCTGTTAAACTAAGAGTCACTTTCTTTAGCTTATATTCCAAATGAATAAGCTTACTCCTCTCCAAGACCATAAATGTTCCAACTATCACAGTAGTTCATTAAAAACTTATAAATATTTTTATACCTGGAACATTTCCCTTTCAAGCTGAAGTTCAGATAAGTGAATTCTCTGTATTTATTAGGGGCTATTGAACAAAGTAACTTTCTATAACCAAATAATTGTAATTTGCTCGATCTTGATAAGATAAGTATAATCAATGTGTAGAGAATTGGACAGGGGAATGAAGCAAAGGACTGGGCAAGTGATGCAATGGATTTTTCTCTTCTCTTTAGGATATAATTTCAGGAATTATGGTACATCTGTATGCACATATTAAAGAATGTGAGAACTCAATAGATATCATCACGACTACCTTTTCTTCTTAATAACATAATATTGCGGGATAAGCATATGGAAAGACCATATCAGTTAACTAGGAACAGGCAGAGGAAAATTCGTCTTTCTGACCTAAAACTGTTTTCACCTCTGGAATATTCAACGACGAACCTTCTTGGACTTTTGACTCCGAAGTTGGAATGGTAGGAGGTCTTCTCCTTCTAGTAACTGTCATATTCAAACCCTTGGTTGTGTGAATTGTTGCTCCTGTAGTCATTTCAACCTGTAGAGCAGTTGTTATACATTAGAAAACTGTAGGTAAATGAATTCAGAACCCAGGATCTGAAGAGTTAAATTAGAAGTTTGGAGCCTGAAATTTTCAACCACCCTTTTAATCATTGTGAAAACAAGAATGACATAGGAAAAAATAAACCCCACCTACAAGTGAGAGTGCTTGTTGAAGACAAGATTTAAACGATGCACATGGCCATAGTGACCACATAGCATCTTGTTGTCCCAAAGGATAATTGTAAGTATGATTGAAAAGTGTGTTTCACGCTCTTAATTGTTCATATAAACTTAATTTATATTTACAAATTAAACGAATTTCTACTTAATTTAGTGTAAAAGTTATCATTGTATGTAAAACATGAACTTGAAAGTACTTCAAGCAACATAATGAAAGTTGCAGGGGTGAACGCAGTTTGAAAACTGCGGCCCACCCACGGTAAATGCTGTTTGACACCGTTAGAGTGCAATTTGATTACTGTGGTCTGACTGCATTATCAAGAATTTTGTCACAACCCAACCGGGATTTTATATTTATTATATAAATTTAATTATGGGTAAATTGGTCCTTGTGAAGGATGATTTTCAAGGCAGTTCA